TACAAAGCTGGCCAGTACGTCTTTGTGCAGGTTCCGCAACTATCCCGATTCCAGTGGCATCCCTTCACTGTTTCCACATGCATCAACAATACCATGCAGGTTCACATCAAGGCTGATGGCGACTGGACAAACTCGCTTCGTGATCTAGCGAAGGAAGGAGGTCGATCCACGATCAAGATCGGTCTTGACGGACCATTTGGCGCACCTGCTCAGCGATTCTACGACTTCGAATACAGCATGGTCTTTGGGTATGTTGAACTGCTTGCTTTGCGACAATGCGAATTATTAACACATGATAGTGCTGGTATTGGCATAACGCCTTTCTCCGGTGTGCTTACGGACCTCCAGCATCACGAGCTTGAGCGTGTCAAGTCTAGAGATGACTCCCCGGAATCATCCGACGAAACCCCCAGGGAGCCTTCCCCGTACTCGAACCACCGCCGAGTCGACTTACATTGGATGGTGCGCGACAAGAACAATCTCCTGTGGTTCTCTGATCTACTGAATGAGGTCTTCCGCCACAGGACGGACAGCCCGGATCTCGACATCCGTATCAACACCTACGTGACCCAGAAACGCAAGCAAATATCGCAACACGTCTTCCGTTGGCTACTCGAGAAACATCGAACAGATGATCATCCACAGTCACCGATCACTGGTCTTGTCAATCCGACACATTTCGGACGTCCGGATATTCGGGGTATCATGGAGGCACATTACGACGATATGAGCAAAGTTTTGGCCGATCGACTGAATGAGAAAGACGGCAACAAAGACGATGAGATCAAAATCGGTGTCTTCTTCTGCGGACCGCCTGTCATCGGTCAACAGATTGCCGATCAGTGTAGCGTGTTGACTGCAAGGGCAAGGAACGAGGACAGAAAGCTTGAGTACCGGTTTATGATTGAGGTGTTTGGTTAGCGACAAACGATGCTTAGCTTAATTGTAATGAATTCTTTGATATCCGACTCAAATACTCCAAGCTAGCGAGATGTGGATTATACGTGCTGCATGATGAGTTTGAAGGATTTCAAAAAGGTTGTCAAGATGGATTCATCGCAAGTACTTCATGGTAGAAGTGGAGCACGTGCCTTGGCGCTAGACCCGCGTTACCAAACGCCGACGTGTCGGAACCGTCATTGACCGCCCGGAACGCTTTCACCTAACCACCCACGACTCTTTCTTTCTTAATATCGGCACCTCGGCCACAGCGCATCACGTTGTTCACTTACTATAGCACGGTTCCTTGCTTCGCGACGCAAAAGGCTAAGCTTCACAACCCAGACCCAATACACCAAAAGCCCCGCCCCCCGCGCCCAGAGCACTGCTGCCACCTTCCGCGCATACCCACTTCCGATTCACACCATGGCTTCATCGGCTTCAAAGCGCCTCTTCAAGGAGTACCGCATGCTCTCCAACGACCCGCCAGAGGGCATCACTGCCGGCCCGGTCAGCGAAGACGACATGTTCATCTGGGAAGCGCTGATCCAAGGCCCGGAAGGCACACCCTTTGAAGGCGGCGTCTTCCCCGCAGAATTACGGTTCCCGAAAGACTACCCACTCGCGCCACCAAAGATGAAGTTTGTAACCGAGATGTGGCATCCAAATGGTATGTTTGATCACCTAGGACATGCTTCCCTATGCTCGCTCACCTACGTGCGCAAGAAGCATGAATTAGTGAGAATCCGAGCTAATGTTAAGAACAGTATACCCCAACGGCGAAGTTTGTATATCGATCCTTCACGCGCCCGGCGAAGACCCCATGCACTACGAACAAGCCTCCGAGCGGTGGTCACCCATACAAAGCGTCGAGAAGATCTTGATCAGCGTCATGAGCATGTTGGCAGAGCCGAACGATGAGAGCCCAGCGAACGTGGACGCGGCGCGAATGTGGAGGGAGAAGAGGGAGGAGTACGAGAAGATTGTGCGGACGAATGTCAGGAAGAGTCTGGGGCTGTAGGAAGCCTGAGACAGGGCATGTATGAGAGGGGACGGATGAGGATAGAGAGGAGTTATGAATCACGAATGCATTAGCGTAACGGGAGTTTCTTGGTGGTGCTTGGTATAAAGCTTCTCCATATATGGAAATATGATATGAGCATCTCCATAACTGCCTTGAAGACAACAGTGGTCAACTGGATCCGCTGCTACGAGGTTGAACTTGTTTATTCATGACATTCGTAAAGTCGTGCTGTGCTACCAATATGTGAGCTAAAAATGTATATCAATCTGCCACATCCGCTGTGGATATAACCAGCCATCATCCTCAGACAACCTCTAGTCCAGAAGCTTCACCATATCCGTTGTACGCCACGCCCCGGAAGTTCCACTTTGGACATTTCTCCTGCATATTACCACTTTTGTCCGTTGCGCGACTGTAGATCGCGACATCTTTGCCCTTCTCGACTTTGACCTTCAACTTCCATAGCGCCCACGCCCACTTGAGTTCAACATCCTTGGCATCTTCACCCTCATAGTTTTTAATCAGTTCTGCCTCTGTCCACGACTTTCCTCCGTCGACACTGACTTCAACTTTTACGATGGGTCCATCTGCACCACTAGGCAGGGCGTATCCCTTGACTTCAATCATCCCATCTGCATCCTGATGTACAGTGGTACCTGACTTCGGAACTCCGATGACGCTGTTGACGGGCATGTCATGCAGCGCGCCAACTTTGTCCCAGTACTCCTCTGCCTTCTCTTTGGAATCAGCTTCCGGAGGTAGAATCTTGTAGTCATGTTGCTGGTAGTGGCTTTGGCTCTCGCTTAGCTGGACTGAGATAGAGTCAAGCCACTTTACGCTCCTCGCTCCAGCGATACCTGGTGTGACGACACGGACTGGAGCTCCATGATTAGGTGGAAGAGGCTTGTCGTTCATCTTCAGCGCGAGCAGAATCGAGCTTTCGCGATTCATAGCTCGTGACAGTGGAATACTGGCACCGTAGAAGTCATCTTCTTGCGTAACCGTCTGGTAGCACGAGAATGCTACATGCGCTTCCTTCAGCTTATCATCCTCGACCTTGACACCAGCTTTTTCCAGAACATCCTTGAGCAGAGGGCCAGTCCATTTGCAGTTCATGACAGCACCATCGAACCAGTCGATGCCGGACACCTCCTTCAACTTTGTACGCATGGTATGACGCCGATTGCCGGCGCATTGTAATGCGCATATCACGGTATGTTGTGGAAGTGCTTGAAGGTCTGAAATGGAAAGCGAGAGTTCATTGTTGACGAGGCCGGTAATGGAGACTTTGTGTGTGCTGGCATCGATGTGGGGAATGGGGCCGTGGTTGCGGTCGTAGCCGTCTTTGGTAATGAAACTGTACCCAGAATTAGTATCGTCATGGCTGTGATACTACCAATAGTATCCAGTGAATATCATAGTTCTCCCAAAAGAAAGAAGACTGAGCTCCGTTCCAGCGCAAATGGACACCACGCATGGAATGACTCGCGCTCAACTAACGCCTTTCATCGCTGTCTCCACACAACATGCTTGTCTTTCCATACTGAGACACTACACACATACCTTTGGACTAACTTCTCAAGCTCTGGCTCGCGATTAAGCGGCTCCTCGACCGAGTACTCAAGCTACGACCAACTTGTCAGCCCTGTCATGCCAAAACCAGCCAATCGTGAAGACATAGTCTACCGCATTAGGAAGTCGATGCAAAAAATCTGGGGGCGTACCTGAACCATAGTGGTCGAACGTAGTTTGGCGGCGCACGTGAAATTGCGTGATTGAAAGCTAGGACGGAGGAAAAGTGGCGGGGGACACAGGTATAAGCGACACAAGCGGGGGCGGGGTAAGAGCGAAGTAGGCCCGACGAGGTTGTTTGCTGAGCCACACGTGGTGTATGGTTTGGGCAGGTGCGAGGGGGGAAGCCGGGTAGATGCGGCTTTTTGCTATGCATCTGCAAAGGAGGAGGGCAGTTCAAGCAATGAGGATAGAATGTGTGAGCACGCTGTTTACTTTGCGGCATGACGTTTGCTAGTCGATATATTACGACATTTCCTCGGAGGGCTTGGATCGAGCTCCTCATAGCTTCTACTATCACGGGCTCATTGCAAAGTGCGTCATTCGCTAGTGGGTATGAATGTATCATCGGGTCACGATACCGCAGTATCCTTGAGATCTAGTCCATCACTTCATGAACCGACACCGTTGAAATCTCGCTACAGTGGCAGTCTTAGACATCGATTATCATCTCTTTAGATAATGAAAGTATTGGGAGTACCTAGGTAGTGTTTTCATGGTGCTCCTGTGAAACATGCACTTCAGGAAGAACCTCTAATACAGTTCGATGCTTCGAAAAGGTGTTTCGACATTTTCTAAAATGTTGTCATCCTCCAAAGTCATATTTGGTAATGGGCCTATATCTGAGTACCATGATTACCTATGGCAACGTCGAGCTCGCTTTCTCGGGAGAGATCACGAAGTCCACATCAATCCTTGGCAGGCTCTTCTTCATCCTTAGTATTGGGCAATCAAAACACATCAGGATACCAAGGATCTTCAAAGACATATATGTTCTCTGGTAACTGAGTCAAAGACTCAGATCGCAAGTCCGCCCATTCTTTTCTTCGCTGCGTCTTCGCCTTGCAGTCGCCATCTCGCTTGCTTCTTGATTGAGATCTGGAAAGTTGTGAAACGGCATGGTGACATCCGGCGACGACGTACCACTAGGGTCGAGTTACAAAGCGGGTTGCACCAAGATGTATAGAAGAACCGACCGCATGAAGTGGATGTGCCTCAAAAGTTTTACGATGGTTGAATACGAATCTTATTATTGAATTAGGAAGCTTGCCTTACCTACGTAGATGCTTCTTCACAATGACAAACCTCACTTCTCTGATGTTCCGTGCCACTCAAGAACATGACTGTTCAATTGAGCAAATAAGCAAGGTCAAATGATTCAAGAAATACGGACTCCTTTTCAATACGCTAACTCTATGGATGAAGCAATGCGGACTCGGCACAACATAACCATCCGCCTATCAGTCTAATCCTCATCCACCATCAGCCCGCCCATACCGTCACTCAATCCGCTTAGCCCACTAACCCCTTCTACCTCACTGTCTTCCATGAAGATGCGCTCAAATTCTATATCGCCCACATCGCAGCTAAATGTGGTAGTGGGATCAGTCTTCCTGCGTTTGGCAACCTCCTCGAACTCGCGATAATTCTTTTGAATCTCGTCTTGAGAAAGCTCACTTGAGCGCAGGTGGTGGGGGCTGCTCAGTTCCATAGCTGAATTCGCGATATTGGGAATACTTGTGTTGCTGGCCGATTCGGAAGTGCTGGCGAAGCTAGATCTAGATTCCATGGGGGAGTCTGGTGGTGTGGGCACTTGACCAGTTGGGATAATTGGGATCTCTTTTTTTTCTTTGACAGGCGTGTGACAACAATCGTCCTTCGGGTCCTTTAGTTCCAACAATTCTTTTTTGATTGCTGCGTAGACCACGTGAAATGCCGGAGCAACTGCCGCATATAGACGAAGTGCCACTTCACTGGGTTCCCGCTCAACAGATGTAGTTCGGTTCTCTACATTCTGACGAAAGGTGTCGAGCGCTTCGAGCACAACTTCGCACTCCTCCACCGCAGACTGGTATCTTTGCGATTCAAAGGTTGCAGCGTGCATGTCGATATCATCACGCAGCGCCAGCTTCTGACGTTTGACGTCAGTGTCAGATTCATCATATACCAGTTCCACTGGTGACATTCCGTCATAGCTTGTGGAGCGTAACACAGCCTTTCGTTTCTTGGGTGAATCGGGAAAGCGCTTTCTCAATGCCCCAAAGAAAGCAGGTTTGGAGTCACGATGCTGTTGAAGCCTAGGTGAAGCGAGGTTGTTGGACCAGGGCTCGCTGATATATGACGGAATTGGGGGCGTCGATGCGTCCTCGGTCTGTGGTCTGTATTCGTCTGGTACCGCATGGACCTGAAGCGTGTCTACAATCTCAACCTTGACGACATATCGCGAAACACGCTCGAAGCGCACGTCTTCTGGAAACTTTGTGACGATACTGGCTTGAATAAGCGTCTCGGATGTCGTTGGAGTATCCGGTGCCTGTGCACGGAATAATTCGCTGAACTTATCCCATTGGATCATGGACGTGGAACGCGTCACAGTGTAAACGACGTCATCGGGAAAGCGATTGTAACTCGAACTGTCTGGCTCACGATATGGGGCGATGTGATACTGGCCTCTCGGTCCGAGTTGCGAAGGAACATGCTCAAACTTAACATCGGGCGGTTGCCAATGTACTCTGGTGATAGCATGAACCACGGGCATGGTATAGTAATCGAGTGTCACTTCAGCCGACATGAAAACCCCCTCCGAACTGCGCAGGAAGCAATCGTGCGTTGCAATGTAATTGTAAACAAAGCCTGGAAGATCGCCAGACCCAAGCGACCATCGAAAGTTCCTGGCAGCGTTCTGACTGGAGTGATCGTTGTAGAAAGCATCGATGATATGATGGATGAGATTCGGCAAGTTGACTTCGATGAGACGGCTTTGCTTGCTGGGAAGGCCTTGTAATAAAAGAGTCAAAGGTTCTTCGCCTTCGAGATCGTCCCGGATTTTGTTTAGTTGAACAATAGTGAGGCGTCGCAAGTCATTCTCGACTTGAGAGACCAGACATCTCTGGAACAAACGCTCCCATAGCGTAAGCTCTAGCGCTTGGGCGTTGGAGATACCTTTCCAGCACGAAATTACGTCGAGATGATTGATTGCTGCTGAAGATTAGCAGTGCAACAGACTGAACTTCTAAAATCGATTTGTGTAGTGATGGGATGAGATTTTCTCAGAGCTTCGTAGTTGTACCTTGTTGCTTGGACTCCGATCTTCTCAAAAGTGGACAGCGTATCTCACTAAGTGATGTATTCGAATGGAGAGCGATACCGTGCAACTCGACATCGAAAGCAACGTTTGCCAGAAGGTTTTCGAAGTATGGACGGCCCCCATCGTCTGATGATACGGAACTGACCGATGGGTGAGCATGACTGGCGATGCCGACACCAGCGTGAAGCGACTGCACAACTTCGGCAGCAACATCCTAAGCTGTCAATATAGTCCGGGGACATGGCTGCACATACTCACAAGACGTTCTGTGGACATGTTGTAGTAAAAGATACTTGCGAACAATACGGTGTCTTGATCAATCGAGCGGGGCCTGAATGTGATGTTGTGGTTGTCAACCAGATTGTGCTTCTCAGGCAGACAGCTTCGCAGGTAGTGGATACCAGGCAGGAGAGGTGCTCGTGGATGACTGCTAGCTCCTGGAGTAAGAATGAGCTGCGGGCAGAACGCGCTTGCATCACGAAAACGCAAACACACCCGCAACACTTTCTTCCGACACAACGTCTATATGGCATCCATGGAGGCCCGCGTAGTGAGTCGCTCATTCTTGTTGCCAAGCTTCGATATTTGGAGGAAGGCATCGACTCCATAGCCTTCCAAGCTGTGAATCTCGAGACTGCCAGCCCAATATTCTGGAATAGCGTTAGTCGCGTAACCCCGCCACTATCACGGAATACTCACCGGCATATAGACGCGACATGGGAAGTCCAATACCTAGGCGCAGATCCGGTGCACGACTAGTCAATGAGGATAGCGAGCCGTGATGTAAGCCCGAATCGCCGTACTTTGACCTGCTATCTAGGCGTTGTTGCACCTGTGCCGCAGATTCACCACCGGGTACCTGCAGCTCTTGCAACGTCCCTAACAACTTTGGTACTCTTGCCAGATTTTCTAACCTTTTCTCGCGGCGGGGACCTTTGCTGAAGCTCCACAAGTACGGCAAGACTTCGTTTGAAATACCACCGCCTTGGTCGGATATTCTGATAATGACGTGTTGCGAGGTTTCGCATATCAGCACTTCGATGGGTGGCAGCTTGGCATCTTTCGACTTGCGCTGTTCGATGACAGCTTGGATGGAGTTTCGCAAAAGCTCGCCAATGATGTATTCAAGGTGACTCAGAATGTATGGAAACGTCGCATCGATGTGGCCGTAAACTTTGATCTCTGGGATGTCGACATGCGAGCCATAGGTGCGCTTGATCAGCTCCTGCATTGTCTTACCGCAATCTTCGACTATGTCTTTCGCGTTGCACCGCAAGAATATCTCGCCGACTGCCTCCTGGTCATGAGGATGGATCTCGGCCTGGGGGAAATGCCATGGCGAATCAAAAGTCTCGGTAAGCGCTAGATGCTGCTCTGCAATGACGCGTCGCGAGATGCGCTACGATGGTTAGTGTTGTCCACAGTTCTGTACTGACTGGGCGCATACCGATCGTAACATGGTGGTCATGAACTTGTCCGTCTCTTCAGCCTTCATTAGGCCTCGAACCTCAAGCACACCAATAGCAAGACGGGGTATGACGGACGCATGCTCGGTCAACGTCTCTTCCAGCACCTTGCAGTATTTCTCGTTGTCGTCTAGCGACTTTATCTCGGGTATGCGACGGAAGCGTTCAAAGGCTCGCAGGTATGACTCGTAGACATGGGCGAGATGGGGATTCGCAACAACGACATATGGTAGGGTCTGAATATCACGCAAACGATGTGCAAGCCTGGATTTATTTAGCAACCGTCGTACGCCATCATAAGATTACGCCGCACCTTGTAGGAAGTTCTAAACGGCAATAGTTGGCCGAGTCGATGAGACGAGACTCAGTCAGGGTCCTACCAAAGAAAGTCAATTGTCGCAAGCTTATGGGCCTGGCTTCGCGCTGCACCCATCTAGTTGCGTGTTAGCTTTAGTTGACGCTGTCACGGTCGGTTATTTGGAGCTCACTCGTCGAGGGCCGAAGACGGTCTCCATGTTGGCGCGACGGCTGCAGCATGAGAAAGTCGAATTTGTAGCCTGGAAATGGTATGTGTTGGAGACGCCCTACGTAGACTACCAGAGTGTCGCGCGCATAATGCGAGACTACGTCTTCCTATGTTCATAATTGTCGGTGCGAGTGCGAGCAAGTGCAGGAACCCAACGATGGAGCTGTAGCAAAATACGGGGCATGTGATTACATGCTCCGCTAACCGGCCCAAATTTTGGAGAAATCACTCACAACCTGGACCTGTTCACGCCGTGACACAGTCAAGAAGGCGTAATCATGGAAGATCGAGTCAAGTCCAGCATTACAACACGCACAATGCGCGAGCGTTTGTAGATGTCGATATTCGCGTGGCATGCTATCCACCAGCATGTGGTGTTGGACGAATGACGTCGTAGGCCGCGGCCTTGGGTTGCTGCACTCCACTGTATCGAGCGCCAAGGCTGCAACCATCGAAGAGAGTTGCTGTTCTGAGCGTCGAGAGCTGCTGCCAGCTTCCCGGCTTTGTGCGCCCTCGCAGTCCACCTCCCACCCCCTTGCACATTCCCGTTGTTGGAGTTTTCAAGACGACAATAATCCGATCGTCATATCTCCACTGCCGCCACCATTTAGCGAGGAACTCATCCTTACCCGCATCCCGCGCAAGTGCTGTCCACCCGTACCTTCCTTTCTCTAGGCGACAGGCGCGCAGCTTCCTTTTTCACCTTCCAACGTCGAGCGCACTCAGTGGTCCCTGTCCTTGCGACGCCTCTGTATAGCTCTTTCCTTGCAGCCTGCCCCCACGTCCACCCGCTCCTGCCGGGAAGCTGAAGCCGCCATGGATCAGGTAAGCTTGCGCCTTCGCTGTCGACACTCCACACGCAGCCATGCTGACTGGACAGCTCCAACAGATCGAAAGTGATATGCTCGTCGACAACGAGTACGACGAGAAGGCCGATGTCGCCATCATAACGCCCGACACAGACGACCAAATGGACGAGGTCGACGCCGACCCCGAGCCCCGCGCCGACGAATACGATGCCTTTATGAAGAGACACATGCCCAAGAACCTCGAGTACGACATTGAAGCAGAAGTATACAACACATGGGAGATCAAAGACTGGCGCCAACTCACACGACGCGAGCATGGTCCCATCTTCGAGTGCGGCGGACATCCCTGGCGGATACTGTTTTTCCCGTACGGTAACAACGTCGACTTTGCTTCCTTTTACCTGGAGCAAGCTTATGAGGAGAAGCAAATGCCAGAGGATTGGTACGCATGTGTCGAATTCATGCTCGTACTCTGGAACCCCAAGGACCCAACTATTTACACCACACATACCGCACACCACCGCTTTACTGCCGAGGAAGGCGATTGGGGCTTCACGCGCTTTGCAGAACTAAGAAAACTTTTCAGCAACTCATGGGAGGACCGAGGACGGCCAATGGTAGAAGACAACGCAGCCAATGTGACTGCGTACATAAGAGTGCTCAAGGACCCCACTGGAGTGTTGTGGCACAATTTTATCAAGTGAGTTTCTCAATGCTGACTTATAGTTGCAATCGACTTGCTGACCGTTCCAGTTACGACTCGAAGAAGGAGACCGGCATGGTCGGGCTGAAGAACCAGGGCGCAACTTGCTACCTCAACTCGCTCTTGCAGTCACTATTCTTCACTAATGCTTTCCGCCAGGTATGTGGCAAGCCCTAGAGTATAGGGACAAGACTAACGTTCCCAGGCCGTTTACCAGATTCCAACCGCCGAAGAAGCCGACCGTTCCAACAGCGCATACGCTTTACAACGGCTTTTCTACCTTCTCCAGACATCGAACGGCGCCGTAGGCACGACAGAACTCACACATTCCTTCGGTTGGGATTCGAAACAGATTTTCGAACAGCAAGATGTACAGGAGCTGTCCCGCGTGCTCATGGACAAGCTTGATGAGAGGATGAAGGGCACTGAAGCCGAAGGTGCCTTGACAAGGATGTTCGTAGGCAAGATGAAGACTTACATATCATGCATCAACGTCGACTACGAATCATCCCGGGTTGAGGACTTCTGGGACATACAATTAAACGTGAGCGGAAACAAGAACCTCGACGACAGCTTCAAAGATTACGTGCAAGTGGAGACCATGGACGGTGAAAACAAGTACTTCGCAGAGGGCTTTGGATTGCAAGATGCCAAGAAGGGTGTCATATTCGAGAGCTTCCCGCCTGTGCTGCACCTCCAGCTCAAGCGCTTCGAATACGACTTCACACGCGACGCCATGATGAAGGTTAACGACCGTTACGAATTCCCAGAGGTCTGGGACGCTGCGCCATACCTTTCCGACGGAGCCGATCGATCCGAATCCTGGATATACCACTTGCACGGTGTTTTGGTGCACAGCGGTGATCTCAACGCGGGCCACTACTACGCTTTCCTCAAGCCTACCAAAGATGGACACTACTACAAATTCGATGACGACCGTGTGACTCGCGCCACACTACGCGAAGCCTTGGAAGAAAACTTTGGTGGCGACTACGCCCAGGCTAATGGAAACACTGGCCAGCGTAACCCCTACACCAGAGCCTGGTCTGCCAAGCGCTCAATGAGCGCATACATGTTGGTATACATAAGAGAAACCAGACTTGACCAGGTTCTCATAGACAGCAAGGCTGTAGAGCCACCAAAGCATTTGGCAGAACGACTTGCTGAAGAACGAGCATTGATGGAGCGCAGGAAGAAGGAGCGCGAAGAAGCTCATCTCTACATGGATGTGGCAGTCGCATCAGATGAACAATTCAAAGCACACCAGGGATTTGATATCGTACCATGGAAGAGCGACCAAGAGACGCCTGCTAGCCCGAGGATCTACCGCGTGCTCCGAGCCACCACAATGGCTGACTTTGCAGCCACTGTTGCTCAAGATTTAGGAACTGAAGCAGACATGCTGCGGCCATGGTCGATGGTTAATAGGCAGAACGGTACTATCCGCCCGGATACCGCTCTTGAATTCCCCGAAATGACAGTGGAAGAGGCCGCAAGCAAGCACGGCACGAAGCAGTCGCAATTCAGGATGTGGATCGAGAAGGCCCAAGAACGCGATGATAGTGGAGCGCCAGTTTTTGGCGAAAAGCTAGTAGACCTCAAGGGTCAGACTAACAATCGTCCATTGATGATCTTCCTGAAACATTTCGACGCGAATGAACAGAGTCTGTTCGGTGTGGGCACCTTGTACGCGGCATTCCAGGACAAGGTTTCTGATCTAACCCCAGCCATCACGAAGATGTTGGGATGGCCGACTGGTACGCAAATCAAGCTTTCAGAAGAGATCAAACAAAACATGATCGAAGCGATGAAGCCAAAGATTACATTGGCAGCCTCGGAAATTCAAGATGGCGACATCATCACAGTTCAACGTGTATTGAACGAGAAGGAAGTCGCTCAGGTAACAGCCCAAGGAGGCTACACCGAGGCAAAGGAATTTTACGACTATCTTCTGAACAGGATCAACATCGAATTCGTGCCGAAGACGTCGGATATGGATCTGCCTACATTCTTCTTAACCCTCAGCAAGAAGATGGCATACGATCAATTCTCCAGCAAGGTAGCAGAGGCCCTCAAAACCGATCCTAGCTATCTACGCTTCACCACCGTCAGCACTGCTGGCAAGCCCAAACTACCTGTCAAGTACAACGTCAATTCGACATTGAACAACATACTCTTCCCTGGACCCTACAATTATTCTGCAAGCGCGAACCAGCGAAACGACGCCTTGTTTTACGAGGTTCTCGACATGAGTCTGAAAGAGCTAGAGCAAAGAAAGCCTGTCAAGGTAACTTGGCTTCCAGAGGGTCTCAGCAAGGAGGTGAGTTTCAAGCCTAAACTGACGTTCATATCGGTACTAATACAATATAGGAGGAGCACACTTTGATGGTCCCTAAGAACGCCCAAGTTGCCGATCTCTTGGTGGCATTGCAAAAGAAAGCAAACATCAGCGACGAAGTAATGCCTAAGATTCGTGCTTACGAGGCGCATGTGAACAAGTTTCACAAAATTCTGCCGCCAGACCACTCTGTAATGAGCCTCTACGAATACACGTCGATCTTTGTCGCGCCTTTCCCTGAGGACGAGTCATCGAAGAAGATTTCTGTATTCCACTTTGACAAAGAGCCATCAAAAGCACATGGTGTGCCGTTCCAGTTTGCATTGAAAGAGGTGTGTATAACTATTAAGATCTCTTCTGCCCTGTTACTAATATATTACAGGGCGAGCCTTTCAGTGAAACAAAACAGCGACTCTCAGACTTCACCAAGATCAAGGGGAAACAGCTAGACAAGATCAGATTTGCCCTTGTCGGCAAAGCTCAATATTCCAAGCCCGAACCAATCGATGATGGTAAGCTACCCTTGACGACGACAAATCTGCAGCACTAACAGTACTACAGATGAAGTCCTATGGGATACAGTGGGCGCACGAGATGACATATCCCTTGGTCTCGAACACCCGGCCAAGACAAAGACGCTCTGGGGAAAGACCGACTCCATCTTCATTCGCTGAAGCAGAGGGACGGTTGTGTAGGATAAAACGAAAAAGATGGCAGGCGACACTGCTGAGTACAGTCACAATGGTCTTGACATAACATTGTCAGCGAAGTTCTGTCGGCATTGCTTAGCGGATCAGGACAGTGAGCGTGTTGTGTGCATATCCCAACTTACATGGCGCAATGGAGCTTGGAAGTATTGCATAAGCGGAGTCGCGTGCGTGGGCAGGTTGGCGCTGTGGTCTGACAGATGTTTATAGAGTCCCACTTTGGATCAGTATCAGCGTGTAAGCAGTGTAGAATAGTATATCATGAATATCATTAGCTTGCTTCATTCCAGGCCACCAAAGCACTACATGTTGAATATCTACTAGATGTTCTTTGAGATGTCTTGAGTACGTTTGTGTATGTGTTGATTCGTAGCGAGAGCAACTTCACGCCGCAGCCGCCTGTTCCCAGGTAGAAGCGGTGCCGTGCGCGTTCGCTTTTTATTCAACACTACAAATATTATCGAGGATCTACACTTTGCAGTGCTTGTCCGCAACCGCCTTGAATCCCATTGGCTAGTCGCTAGTTCCCCGCGCCTTCCCCCCCGACATCCCTGCGTCGGCAAAACCTACCGCCGACGTTGTCGACAGCTGTAACTTCCAGCACATGAGAACACGCATCAACAAACGCAGTCGTCCACGCCAACGAACACGATGCGGTCACTCCTCACCATTTTCAGCGCATTGCTGGCATACACCACTGCCGTGTATGCTACTGCCCTCACCTACAGACTAGAGGCACACGAGCAAGCATGCTTCTACGCGCACGTTGAGAACAAGGGGACCAAGTTGGCTTTCTACTTTGCAGTACGTTCTCCACCCGGACCCTGGATACGCAATGGCCTCGGAACCGTCAATTGTTTCCCTACCTTACTCCAGGCTGCTACGCGGTAGCACGATAAATCCTAGGACAGGAAGGCTGACAGAATGTGGACAGGTCCAATCCGGAGGCTCATTCGATGTCGACTATTTGGTTGTCGGCCCAACAGACAAGACCATCCTGGATGGAACCAAGGAGCGACAGGGCGACTTTGTATTCACGGCAAACGATGTGGGAGAATACCGTTTCTGCTTCAACAACGAGATGAGCACTTTTGCGGAGAAGATGGTCGATTTCGAAATCGCCGTACGTAAAGCCTCGCAGTACACCTATGGATACATTTGGACTATCATACTGATTTCGCGCGCCTACAGGTTGAGAACGAAGCCGCCCGTGCCAAGATCCCGTCCAAGCAGGGCTCCTCCCCTGAACAGACCTCGGTCCTTGAGGAGTCTATTCTCAAGTTATCCGCACAACTCTCCACCATCTCCCGCAACCAGAAGTACTTCCGCACGCGCGAGAACCGTAACTTCAGCACCGTCAAGAGTACCGAGAAGAGGATATTCAACTTCAGTTTGATGGAGTCAGGCTTGATTATGACCATGGCAGGGTTGCAGGTCTTCATTGTTCGCTTCTTTTTCCAGGGCGCGAGGAAAGGTATTATTTGAAACTGCCTCTCAGGATAAGAGTTTGGAAGTATCGTGGGCTGACACATGTTGGCAGGCTACGTATGAGCATGCGCTAGTTCACTTTCCAAATTTGGAGTTGGACCATCATGCAATCTGGAGATCTAGCGGGTCGTTTGGAGTACTATCCTGCGGGACGAGAAGAGTATGCAACTTTTTTGATTACCTGATTCTGGCGCTACTGGGAAAGCGGCATCTTCAAGGTTTTTGGGCGCACTAGTAAGATACAGAAATTCGAGGAAGAAGTGCAAAAGCCATCCAGTTGTCGAGACCCCCCATTTGACTATAAATCACCCTAAAAAACTTGCCTGCGACGACTAGCTGTTCCTGGCCGCTTTGAAGCGGGTGTTCTCCACTGATTTCCCCCTCATGGTACTGCTCACGTGCCAGCGTGACTAGAAATGCTCATAGTTTTGTAGGAACGTTTGTGGTTATTGTATAACTTACAAAAGTCTAGAAAATCTTGCCACGAACATGTTGCAGTACAGCCTCCAGCTCTTCTTCATGTGGTACAAAGCTACTGCGCGGTCAATAGCAATGGAGACGTTGCTCATGCCTTATACTCTCGCCTGTCTTACTAACTCACAGTACCAGATGAGCGACGATATTCGCTACCAGGTTATTCTTCGCTCGCTCGCCTATAAACTTGGAGGTAGGTTTGCAGCACATGGGGATGACTTAAATCTCCTTGACCTGACACTTTGCCACTGGCTACAAGCACGATACAATGAATAACTACATTAACCCTTACATGGGCGACCATGGCACACGCAATAACTATCATCCCCAGGCACGGTTCGGTGGCCTTCCCCATATGCCAAATCAGCAAGTAGCCGCGCAGTCAGTCGGCGCTCCTGGCAGCGTTCAAGGCATGCCCGTTCACAGTTACGCACAAATCCAGAGCAACGACCCCAGAACTCTGCCGAGTCAGCAGCAGATGCGTGCCCAACCCACCAGCAGTTCCGGTAGTGCATGTGGTATACCGCCCTGGCATCCTCTATTCAATGTGATAACGGTGCTACACGATGCACAATCAGCCCGTATGAATACTCAGAACGGACAACAATATGGGCCATTGCATCCACAACAGCAGATGATGATGCTACAGGAGCAGCACCGTCTGCAGCAGCACCACTTTCAGCAATATCAACTGCAGCAACATCATTTGCAGCAACATCATCTGCAGCAACAGAGGCTACACCCAGCAGTACCACAGCAAGAACCAATACTACACCCAGCAGTACCGCAGCAAGAACGAATGCTACATCCAGCAGTACCACAGCAAGAACGAATGCTGCACTTAGCAGCACCACAGCAGCAGCAGTATCAGTGGTATACGTATGCACAACCTCCGCAACTGGTGCCTCAGGAACAGCCAACGCCCCCATATTCTTCACCTGCACTTGCTGTATCGAACATTGCTACACTAAGCGACGAACTGGCCGCAGCAGATACTACTATGCCTGAAGCCATACCCACGAAGAAGGCGCGTGGCCGGCCCAAGAAAGCTGCACCTACTGTTCTGTCCCAAGAGCCCATTACAGAACCAACGGGACAGACCAAGGAGACGACATCCTCCCAAGTAGATGACGCAGACGAATTCGATCATCTACCCGGCTACTTCTCGAGGAGTGAAGAATCGGAACTTCTCGAATGGGGATTGCAACAGCAAGCAAAGAACCGCGAAAGCGCCGAAAAATGGAGTGCAGGCTCGTACGGCGAGAGCACTTGGGATTATGATCTTTTCAAAGAGAGCCCTGAGAGCCCATGGAATTATGACCTCGAAAGGTTACCTCGGTGTCCTTCTCCCGTCGGTGATTCAATGGAGGAGGTCTGAACTGGTGTTTGGACATCTTCTGGTTCTGTTTTTGACTCCTGGAAAATTGGGTTTACATTATGGGACGGTTATCTTCAGGAAGGGCACCATCATCATCTTTTACGGTTAGACTTGCACAAGTGTCTTTTTGCCAGCAGTAGAACAAGCGTGCGACATAGATCGGATAGATTCGGTATTAGAACGTCTTCACAATCTTTCTCTTGCCTTTTGAGGATCCTACCCTATCGCTCTCACTACATAACGGCGCGAAGATCGTCAGTCGCGAATGTGGAGACGGACGGGCGCTAACCGGCGGGGATGAGCTGCAGGGATGGATGACATCAATGACTTCCAGGCTGGCGTATTTACGTCCCATCACCAACCCCGACCTCCATATCGGCGATCGGACTTCCGTGCACGCCCAGCTCATCTCAACGGACATCATGGAGCTTGCATACGGCTTTGCCCTATGCGAACCGACACCACATTTGTGGAACCATCAAGCTTCGCCGGTTTTAGCATAGGGCCATCCGTTATCCCCAAAACACGAACGCCATTTCAAGGACACAGCAGCGGACTTAGAGGCTTACGACCGAAGACCGGCCGTATGCCTCTCAACATTGATCCTTCACGTTATAGTTATATACAACTTCACTACCAAGAATTCGACGTCTTGGTACACATTGCCGAAACCGTTCCAGTGCTTGCCCTATTTCAGACGCGATCACGGCAAAGCCCTATTCCCCTTTACACTTGGCAGTATGGTATTGCTTACCACCCTCAAAAATATCGCCGTGGTTGGTGCGAGCGGCAATGTTGGCACCCATATCACATCGGCTCTCCTTGCGAAAACACACTTCAACGTCACAGCGATCACACGTACAGACTCCAAAGCCACCTTCCCACCAGGCGTTCGAGTCGCACGTATCGACTATAACAGCCCAGATACCATAGTCAAAGCTTTGACAGGACAGGATGCACTCGTTATCACGATGAGCGTGTTTGCTGGTGGCGCGCAGGAGCAACTCATTCGTGGGGCAGCTCAAGCCGGCGTACCATGGGTTCTACCAAACGAGTTTGGTATGTACAACACAGAGGAAGCTCAGAATGAAACTATCGGACCGGGAAAGACAATCGCTCGCAAACTCATCGAGTCGCTCGGCGTTTCCTCTTGGATAGGCCTCACCTCAGGTTTCTGGTACGAGTACTCCCTCAGCGGTGGTTACTACGGCATCAACATACCGAAGCGCGAAGTCACTTACATAGACGACGGCAAGCAGCGTCTGAACACCGCCACATGGCCCCAGACTGGACTTGCCGTGGCAAACTTGCTATCTCTGCCAGTATCTGGATCTGATAGCGATGGGCCGACACTGGAGCAATATCGCAACCGCATGCTCTTTGTTTCTTCTTTCGCTCTTAACCAGCGCGAGATGTTCGAGGCTGTCCAGAAAGCAACGGGAACTACGGAGAAGGATTGGAGAATTACATCCGAGCCAGCAAAGCAACGCTTGGCTACAGCTAGGCAGAGGATGATGATGGGCGATCGTAGGTCCTTTGCAACGGTTTTGTACACACGCTATTTTATTGACGAGGCGGGCCTATATGAGAAGAACCATGGCCTGAACAATGACGAGCTAGGCCTTCCGAAAGAGGATCTGGACGAAGCTACGAAACGGGCCGTGGACCTGGCGTATACGGATTATCACAAGAACATGTACTCGTAGACTGTCTACCTTCTTCGCATGCAGTTCTATCACAAGCATATTGTGGACGTTTTCATTTATTCATTCTCCAACGTAAAAGCGGTACATCAATCGAATACAATAGCAGCCTTCACAACCTCTTGTTTCCTCACCGCGTCCAGACATTCCTCCCATTGCTCGATTTTATATGTCTTGTTTGCGATGCCACCCAACTTCAATCTCCCAGCATTCACATACTCCAGTACATGTGGTATGTGGCTCATGCTACAGAAGCTAGCTAGAATCGTGATTTCATTCTCCCAGATACGGAACGGGGACCAAGCAATCTTAACACTCTCGTCATAAACACCGTACACCACGAGCTTTCCACCTTTGCGTACGTACTCGATAGCCTTTTCGAGGACAGTCGGTGCGCCAGTAGCTTCCACCACGATGTCGAAACCATAAGGATTGTTGGTTTGGAGGGCAGCCATATCATCGCTGGGATTCTCATCGGATATAGTGACGTAGGAATCCGCGATATCAAGTTCGCGAGCAAGATCGAGCTTGGGTCCAGCTTTTGAAGCGATAGTCAACTGGATCATGTCAGTGTTGATTTGAGATGTCTAGAAGGCTTCATGTACATGAGCGGCGCCATTCATTTTGATCAACTGAGCAAGCAGTATACCAGTTGGCCCACATCCGAAGAGCAATACTCTGCTTCCAACCTCCATCTGCATCCGCTCAATACCATGCGCGGCGCATGCAGCGGGTTCAATTAGAACTGCTTCCAGATCGGGAAGATCGCCGATGGGAAATACCATTTTCGCTGGGTATCTGCAATACTCGGCCATGCCACCGGGGACATTACCGCCATATCCGATGATGTTCTCGCAGAGCTGAGTCTTTCTGCGAGTACAGTAAAAGCAGCTGAGGCATGGTTGTAAGGCATCAGCTGCTACACGATCGCCGATGGCAACGTTCTTGACGTTTTTGCCAATAGCAGCAACGGTGCCTGCTGCCTCATGGCCTGTAATAGTGAGTAACGAGATCGAGAAGGTAAAACATCATCGATCATACCAGGTATCAATGGCCACTTCGGTTACGTCAGCGTCGTCCAGTATATGTATGCTTGTACGACAGATCTCACCTTAGCCAGGAACTCGCCTTTACTTCAGAAGAGGAGATAAAATGTTAGTGCATGCGTTGCTTACGTATCGCATCAGAGTCTTACTGGTAGTGCAAGTCCTTTACTTTTGTCAGTCAAGTGTTCTTCTTGTGGCCTCTCCCATGAGTTCTCTCTGCTTACCGTTCCGCATACACCACAAGCTGAAATTTTGACCTTCCGTCAGTCAGTTCACTAAATTCGGTCTGGTAATAGTCGGTGTTTTGTACAAGGACATCGTCATCGCCAATGGCAGGAACGTCAATAGTTTCAACTGCAAACTTTTCGGGCCCTGAGTATCTGATTTGACTTAGCAGCTTTTTCACCATGTTTTGTGTTAAGCATTCCTTACTGTAGCGCTCTCATCTTCGCAGGCAAATCATGGCGTTGTCGTTTTCTTGGTGATGCATGACCATTCATGATGAAGGTAGATCAGAATCTTGGTCCTTTCAGTCACGCCAAAGGTCATTGTGGGCTGTCACTGCTTATAAACACGATGAATTTGTCGTTACATTTGTCTCGACACGAGCGCTGGCTTAGACGCGTGTGTGTAACGGGATGCGGGGTTCGGCAAACCTGCCTTGTTAGCCGCAGCACCCGGACTACTCCTTTGGGAAAATGTAACTATACTACATGTTGTACTTCCCGGACTGCAAGCAGTTGACTTCAGCATAACGTATCTACATCAATTGAACTGCATCGGATTCTTCCGGGAAGGTAACTATTCCTTCAAACAAACAGTGTGTAGCATGAACAAGCACTAGGTTAGCATTACCGATCCAATCACTTGACGTAGCATATGAGCAATGCTCGAGTGGGGCGTGAACTTAGTGGGTACTTGTGATTGAATTATTCACTTCTACTCCGCTTGAAAGCATCTATCGATAATGCGTTGACATGAAGTACCCACCGCATGATGTCGACCCATTCGCCATTGGCCTCCTGACTTACCGCCTCCTCATCGAAAGTGCTCGCTCCTGGATAAAAACGAGTTTATCTTGGTCACCAGATACAGCGCGCTAGCTAGTCAATTGTGAATTTGGTACTCGTCGTGGCCGATATCGTGTCCTTCACTAGGCCGCTATACAATGACTTGACCATTGGGAACGGTGTACGGTCGGGACGCTAGACGTTATCACTAAGTTTCAAAATCCTTTGCGACCGAATCACTTTTGCCGTACGTTGTCTACAAACGAGCAAACTCGGGGAACCTTAGCGCCGATTCACATTCTGACCATCTCGGGCCATCGGTTAATAGCCTCTTGGTTGAAAAGCGATGTCTGTTGACACAAAGCTTGTTCCTAGTCTCATGTTGGCCCTGGTCCTCCTTTACACATGTACTAATGCTCAACAGCTACCTACACATGATGAATGGTGGTATTCGGTCTGTCGTGGCTCGCGACTCAACCAGGCCATGGTATGGTCTCCGCCGTACGCAAACGACTTCTTGGACCCCATCGATAGTCCGTGGGACGGTGTCATGCACCAAGAGCTTGCGCAATGGGGCTATACGGAATCGGAAAGGTCTCAATTATGCGATTATGGCACATTCTGGGGTCTTGGCAGAGCATTCGGAAGTCTTGGTATCGATCCACGATCAAACTTCAACCATGGGCCTAACAGATGCTTCCGTGTCAGCCATGGAGATACAACGAGGAAGCGACCAGACGGCCGACCGTGGCCGCTCTCCGAGCAAACCTACATCTCCCCAGATGGAAGGTCTAACAGGGCAAGTTTACCTTTGTTTTCTTTCCCTTCGTCTTACTGATGTCTTGGCATAGGTGACAGGCGCCTTCTCCGACATTGGCGTCAACCCTGATGCGGGCATAGTATTTTTCATGAGCAGAAGAAGTGCTGTCGAATCGGCAAAGATCCTTTGGCGACAAGATCCACCGTCGCGGAGGGATCTTCCAGCACTACGGAGTAGTTCTGACTTCGCGTGGGCATTCTGGAACCGAGTGCCGCATTTTACCCCAATAACAGCGTTCTGGAGCGTGAGCGTCAACAATCGCCAGACGCTGGATATCTTGAGCCTCGTCTTCAAGACCTATCAGCCGCCACCAGGGCAACAAAGAGTGAACAGTGTTCAGGACTGGCCTGGAACCGATTTTGAGATAACTTCTGTTGAAGCACTCGCTATCTTGGGCAAGTTCAGTCCTTCCACTATGGCAGCAGACTTTCATGCTTCCAGGAGTATTGACAGAGGTCTACGCGCAAGGAGCTGACAAATACAGGTTCTCCGACAGGCATAGCAGCTGGCTTCTTCCTCGCCCAGCACAAACGACAATTGGGAGGCAACAAGATGATCGTGAAGATCACGGTCTTCAAAGCCCTCCAGCCCGTCACGGATGACGAATTTCCAACCATAATTTTCTGGGTGCAAAACGCTCGCAACATTTATGGCGGTATCAACGGGGCGCATTCGGTGAATGTCTCAGATGTGGTGGGGATCGATCGTATGTGGGAGTTCGGAGAGCCGAAGGTGCTCAAAAGGAGCGCAGATGGGAAGAGCGTAATTCGAGAGCATGTTGTTCGTGTCGAGCTGTAGACGTGAGTTATGACGGAGCAAAACTCTGAGGTGATACAGGTGCAAGTAAAGGACATCCAGGGAAGACTGTATTCAATCGTTCCAAGGTTACTTGCGCATGCGATCTCGTACACAAGGAGGTATGCATTGCGACATGAGAAATTTGGTACGTCTAAGATCGAAGCGCGTTTTTGCTAAATGAGGTACATTTCGGAGGGTGGAGTTTGGGCTCACACGCGCGATGTCGCGTCTGTAGCTCGGGTTACCTGCCTGTTCGCTTGACGCCAAGTCGGACAACGCGTCCGACGCGTCCGACGCTCCCGAGCTGTCTTACTGCGCCAGATGCTCAACACTAGCAGGCACACTGTGCGGCGCACTTCGTACTATTCCCCTGGTATCCTTTACGCCACTGGTGTCGTTGAAGCTTTACGGCTTGGATTATGCGTCGCTGGCTTTGACAAGCACAGAACGCCATCAACGAATGCGGAATTGGAACAGTGCCAAACTTTCAATATCCTCCCATTGTCGACCCTGCATTCAGTCAAACGATTGAAAGCAGTGCTGACTCACCTCGGCGAGTGGTGTGAGCCTGCTTACAAGCTGCCTACATGAGTATCTCACCAAGAATCAGCACATGCAGGTAATGCTTACATGTTGCCAACCTCTACCGCGTGCACAACAAGCGGCCCTATGAAAATGCAGGATTCGACTGCTGATCGTTATTGGCAAGTTCTCTAAACAGTACCAACAAGCAATTTAGGTGTTCAGAGAGAGATGTAGTTTGGGCATAAAGATGGGAGTTCACTACCATGTTTGTTTGCTCAGTTAGATAAAGTCTAAAGTCGACTTTTGATATATGCACAAATAGCACGATGCTGTTCAATACGCTTATTCCGGCGCTATCATTTACGGTATGTATCTGCACAGTAACCGCGCCATTTTCGAAGTTTTGCTCACGTATTGTCATATAGGCTGTCGTAAAACTGCCAGCACGTCTACATTATCCAAGGAAACTTCAGGGGTTGTAGTAACGCTATATAGATTGTCGTCGGACCCACAGCGACAGGTTCAACGCAAATGTATGCAGATGTTGTTACCGGCGTCTTAACCTCCGAGCCCAGTGTCAGTGTCACTATTCCTGTCAAAATAGGTATGGAACTAACGTGTAAGAAAGTTTGAGCCATCAGTCAAAGCCACAGTAATTCGTGGAGGTGACTGGATTTCTACAGACCCGCCAAATCCGAATTCCAATGCTACTGTGCTGAGACTCCATGTCGACGTGCTTGTCAAAGTTGATGGAAATTCAGAAGAAGATGCGTATATCCGGATGCGATGTACAGGCGCAGAGATTGCAACACCAGAAGTCGCTGCTATTGTAAGCGGCAACCGAAATGCCTCGTCCGTCAAGTTTGGCGACTTTCAGGTACATTATACTACTTCTTCAATACTGTCTTGATCCAAGTCGCTCACACAAGGATAGGCAACGTCATCTTGGACGTTTGAAACAGCGAGTAAGAAGTACTGGGAGTTACAGAATGCAGTCTTCGTGGGCAGCACTAGTCTACGTGTTGGAGAAGATGAAGGTACATTCGTTGTAGGCTTCAAGATTGCCAAAGTGTTGAGTGCCGAGACTGATGTCAGTATATGAACGGATGGCCTCTTCCTCGATGAATGTGCTTTCGAGTAATGGTCAGTGAAAGGCATAATGATTGGAGCATTTCGCAGTATTACACCCTTTTCTATCAGGTACATTCAGGCAGACTCAAGCACGATCATAGTTTCTCTGAATGTTCGCGCAGCGATTGAATCAAGGTTGCGAAACTTTCACGCGCTGACTTGAGTGCTGTAGACTACTTTTCCTTCCCCTGTAAAACATTCCTCTCCATGGTTCTGCCTCAACCTCTCATACACTATTGTCATCCTCGCTTTTCCCCAATATGAAGGCTTATAAACCCCTTTTCGTTGCCGCGCTAGGCACACTGGTTACAAGTGAGCGTTCTGTGTCGTCTCCCGAGTCCCCTCTCGTGAACATCTCGTCACTCAATACCGCCGACCAAGACACCTACCCAGCCGACATCACGATCGCCAGCGGTACAAATCCCGATCAACTCGTTCACACCTCTGCAATCAAAGATATTGACTGGGACAAGTCCGTGTGTCGAGGCCGAAAACTCCTCCTCGCAATGACCCGAGATGCCAGCCAAGGCACACGCTATATCAACCCCCTATTTACACCGTGGGACGGCGATCTTGAAAAAGAGATGGTGGAATGGGGATGGGATAATTGGCAAGAACACAAAGGCTGGTGCAACTTCAAGGATAATGGATTGTCGCCGGCATTAAAAGCTCTGGGCATCAGTGACCAGCATGTCGACGACAAAGGCGATAACCAATGTTGGGTTGCGAACCATTTCGATGGTCCAGGTGTGCTCTTCAATCCGGATGACCCTGATGATATAGATGATTCGGACGATGAGATGTTGGCCATGGATGATCAGTATTATATGGATCCAAACGGGCAAAGAAAGAGGGTAAGTCGGATTTTCGTGCCCAGCTAACTAGCAAACTAAACTACGCATCATGGTAATTCAGCAATTCCATTAATTGACGATGCTTCTAGTGCACAGGCGCGTCATACGCTATGGGCATCAACGTACCCGCCAGTGTCCTATACTTCATCTCACGTACAGGGCCGCTAGAAGCAGCAAAGTGGTTGTGGGAGAGAACGCCGCAATCTTCCGAACTTCCCAATCTTAGGACGAGCTCCGATCTAGCATGGAGTTTGTGGCACAAGATCATGTGGTCTGACCACCCCCTTAGCAATATCCGTAAGATATTCAGTCTATATATTACCAATGAGGAGACGAATGATATCGTGGAAAGGGCACTTGGTATAGGACCAACAGACGATATGAAGAAGTGGCCTGGAGTGAGTTTCGACTCGACATCGGAGGAGGGTTTGGCTATCCTTGGTAAGCTCGTGCCTTCGTTGTAAGCTGTACCAGTCATACTGATGGAACTTTGTCGATAGGATCAGCCAATGGTCGCGCAGTGGGTTACTTCCTTGCTCAGCATAAGCATCAGTTGGGTGGAGACAAATACGTCTCCAAGATGACTGTCTTTGAGGATGAAAACGAGGGCAATCCGCATGCCACAATTCTCTTCTGGATCGATGATGTGCCTTCGCCACCGCCGGAGTTGCCGGAGCCTGGCGCGCCGCCTGGTGATCATCCCATGGACACTTCGCCTGGGATGGTTCAGTCAAAAGTTGTGAGGAGGAGGGATCATGGAAGGAGTATCACAAGGAAACACGTGATTTGGGTAGGCCCGGAATAGGTGTAGAGGGGCGGAATGTGAGCTGGTTTTATTGTCGTCGTGCTTCGAATGGAAGGTTACGTACAACCTGTTTAAGATTACATCAACAAATCCGGTCCAGAATATCTATTTCATACTGTAGAATGCAACACCGTGTGTGAAGCGTTATGTAATTAGAAAATCGAGCTGACTGGCACTGGGAACTCTTCTACGCTCAGATGTAAGACCATAAGCTTACGAACGCGTTTCCGAACCGATTGATTCAAGTATCTGTTCCAACTCCTGCTTCGCTGCCTCATTACAACTTTACCCAGACCTTATGACTCCTCACAATATTCTTTCCATCTTCGGATCGCTCTAACACTCGCCCTTCATCCACAAGATCACGCTTACCGAGCGCCAAATCAGTTCCTCCGCCCATTATCTCATCGGGGGGTTGCGGTGCTGGCCACGGTGCCGGTTTAACAACGAAACACAACCACGGCAAGATGCCCGTCATCCAGACTGGGTTCGCTGGTGAGCCTTGAAAGACGTGTATACTGGAAACATATCTGTTGTGACCAAACTGAGGCTTGTGCTGCCCAAGAAGGTATCCTATTGCTATTCCGTTCGGAGACCCTATACCAAACTTGTTAGTACTATGCGCATCATAAGCATCATGGGTGCGCGATATACCTAATAAAGCCCAGTACTCAGAGGCTTCTCCAGCTACGAACTCAGTTCCTGGCCAGGTTCTGAGTGGTTGACCGTCCAAGGCCCTCAAAATGATCTGCCGAGTTTCTTTGTTGACAATCTGGTGGGAGAAGATGTAGTTGATATTACCCAACTTGCCAGGGCTCATTCTCTCCCACATGCCCCAGGCAATATCTGAACTCGACCTCAGCGCTGGTAGCTCGTTCTTTGGAACATTATCAACTCCCCACTGATTTTTGGCCGCTGATTCTGGAGACTTGCGGTTGATCATATGGATGACGCCATCCCGCGCGTTGATGCCTATGGTGTAATAAGCGTTTGTGACCTTGTAGCTTACTCCGTCAACAGTATAACGTTGTTGGTTTCTGGGTGGCATCTGGCCGTTTGGCAATCGGTGAACGGTGGGGCCATCTCGGTGGACATAGGAGAAACACTTGTTCGGTCCGCCATACTGTGCACTTCCTGCGCCGATTCCTAGGGTCTGGAGGACAGCTTCGAATATAGGTTTCATGGTGAAGTCGCACTGGTCCTGGATGTCCTCATTCATACTGTTGTCTTTATAACCCCAGGTCGTAAGTTCGTTTTCGAGGGTGCCAGTCCATGGACTGTTCAACGGAGTACCAAACCTAGCAGCGTTTACTGGATCGAGCGTATTCATTAGCTGGAGCTTCTGGCCGCGACAGCCGCAAGTCTGCCATAGGAAGTCATCAGCTGGGCCAGGAGGCGCTCTCTTGACTATGCTACCACTATTTTCAACGGCGAGACTCCATGTGTCAAGTGGAGTTTCGTTCGGAGGGGGCGGCGGAGCCTCGCCCACGACCAGACTGAGGAGTGTGGCGAGACGTAGAAGTAGTACGGTTTGCATGTTGCGGATCTGTTGACGGAAGTCGCGCAGAGAAACGGTAGATCAAAGGACAGAGAGAGTATATGGAGAAATGGCGCTAGATGTGGTCATGTAGCGCGCACAAACTGATTTTCAAGCAGGAAAAGCCCAAGCTTTGGCCATTTGCGTCCAAAGTGAAGGCGGGTGGGAAAGACTAGAAGTGTTAGCGTAGCAAGCAAGACAGTGAAAGGCAAGTGTTGGCCCATACTTGAAGCAGAGTGAGTTTAGAATGTCTTAGGGCTACCACGAGACATCCGTTTGATTAAGCTGATATATCACAACCGAATTACATGCTTGAACTGACAACATACACGAATGTGTAATCTGGAAAGAATTGCGCGATCATGACTTTATCCAAACCTTATGACTCCTCACGATATTCTTCCCATCACCGCTTCTCTTGATCACTCTACCTCCATCCGTGTTCGTGAGGGCTTCCATACCAAAACCCGGGGGCGGTACTAAAACATCCATCGGATCGGGTGGTGCAGTTGGCGGTGGAGAAGGCGCCAGGCCAACAGCGAAGATCATGTTCGATAGCGACGATCCGGTCTTGCGGTAAATGCGGATCCCCTGAACATAATAGTTGCTTCCCAACTGTGCCTTGTGTTGAGCAAGAAAATATCCTACCCCTATAGCGTTTGGACTACCTAAACCCAGGCATATTGTCAGCGCCGTTCTGAACTCAAAGCATCAGACACCTCGTTACGTATTACCAGAAGACTTTTAGTGAGAACATACCCATCAAGGCCAAATAGTCCTCGGATTCTGGCGTGACAAGAAACCCAGGAGGATTCGGCGGCACTTCATCTAGCCCTTTGTTCTTCAGTATCCTGTCGATAACCTGCTCGGTTTCGCTGTTGATGATGGACATGGATGCAAAGAATTTGATTTTGTTCAGTTTGTCGCCATCTTGAATTCGATTCCAATAGGCCCATGCTATATCTGAACTCGCACGTAGAGCGGGCAACTCATCAAGCGGAACCGGATCATCATCACGTATGCCCCATGTTTCGCGGGCCTCAGCTTGAGGGGAGCCCCGATTGAGGAACAATATGTAGCCATAGCTCGGGTTGATTACCATGGTGCCATGAGCGGCCGTGACCTAAATAGGGAAGAGCGTCAGTAAAGAGCGCGAAGACTGTAGTAGTAGAACTCTCTGGCGTGGGCTTACCCTGTACTTCCGACCATCTTTAGTGTAGTACTGCTCGTTGAGAGGTGGGAGATCTCCATTCTCATCCCTCACGATGTCGCTATTGCAATGACTGTATGAGACACAATGGTTTGGCCCGCCATGGAGCGAGTTAGTTATTGGAATCCCCAGCGTAGCGAGGTATGGGGCGATCCCGCTAAAGTCGAAGAGATCTGGGTCTTTGAAGTTATCTTTGTAACCCCATTCTGCAAGCTCTTCCCTCATCTCGCCATCCCAGAGAGATGCCAAGGGACTCAGGAACCGAGCGGCTTCGGGTGGATTTTGGGTCATTGCAAAAAGCAGTTTTGCTCCTCGACATTTACATTGGTACCAAAGCTCATCGTCAGCAGGGTTGAGGTTGTCGTCGTCATCGTCGGGGTCGCTGCCTGGGTCAGACCCTCTTGCGCCTAAGATGAGGTTCTGGTATCCGAGAGATTCGACGCCGACATTGGTAAGATTGAGCAGAATCTCAGTCGCACCGAGAGCGATGAGACCCACAACGAAGATGATGTACGTGAGCTTCATGTTCAGAGTTTGAATGTCTGAATGCCTATAGGTGGGTGCTTCGGTTTCAGAGCAAGGAAGAAAACAGATATAGCGTTCACCGGATGAGCGAGCTATACTAGCGGCCGGAAGTCAAGGTGAAAGACCAAGGTGCTTGGATAGACCCGTTCCAAAAGCTAGTTCACTTACTGCGGGATTTGGGATTGAATTGATTCTAAGTGAAGGGGGAAAAGGCGTTGAGATGAGGTGTCAAACAGGCATCTACCGACATCATTCCATCATCTTACCCATGCTTTCACGTCAAAGCTTTGCCCAAATCTTATGTGTCCTAATGAAATTCTTCCCATCTTTAATCCTCCTCACTGCTTTTGCCTCTTCCATCGGAGAGCCAGGAGTGTCGTCCGGGTCAGGCATCGGTGGCGTGTGCTTGTCAATGTAGAAGAGGAGAGCAGGGTCATCATAATATTCGTCATCATCATCCCCCTTAAAGATCTTGATTTTCCAGATAAAATTGTCGCCACCAAGTTGCCTCTTGTGCTGGAGAAGAAAGTAGCCGGCTCCTAAGCCCTAAATGTGGGTATACAAAGTCAGTGTATGTCTCGTAAGTAGTTCGTGTAGGCGTAATTACATTTGGCGAACCTAGAGAACGTCAGCGTGAGTAGTGTCTTGATAGAGAAGGACTAAAATGGAGTATGAGACTACACAGTAGGCGAAATAAGGCGTACCAATAAGTGCGAGAGCAGCTTCAGCTTCAGCCCCTCCATTTGCTCCCACAATGAGATCAGTTCCAGGCCACTTCTCGACCTCAGTCTTTCCCATCGCTTTCAAGGCCCTTGGTATAATGACATCCACAGTCTCATCGTTGATAATGTTTAGAGACATGATCATTTTGATACTTGGTTCGCCTTCGATCCTATTCCACAACCCCCAAGCTAGGTCCGAGCTAGAGCGAAGTGCCGGCAAGTCGGCTTTGTCGATTTGCTCCTGACCCCAGACCGTTTGGGCCGATTTCTCAGGCGAAGTGCGGTCGAGGAAGTAAACAATACCGTCTTTCCGGTTTATGCCAATTTTAGAATAGGCGCCCGTGACCTGTTATGCTATCAGAATTAGCCTGCTGGATGATTTCAATTTGATGGAGCTACACGCGTCTGACCCTGTACATCTTTCCGTCCGCCTCGTATCGCTGCTTGGATATACTGGGCGTTTCCCCATTCTTGTCCAGGATAACTGTTGGTCCAAACCTATGCTCTAACATGAAGCAGTGGTTCGGCCCACCCTTAAGTGCCGAACGCGGGTCAATACCGAGAGCATCGAAAGCACTCCTTATATGATGCTTCGAAAAGTCGCATGAGTTGTCGTTCATCGCGTGATGATTGTCGTCGTCGAGATATCCCCATTTTCTTAGTTCAAGCTTTAGGTCGCCGTCCCATGGGCTCTGCGTGTAAGGCCACCCCAGCATCCTCGTTGAGTCTTGTTCGTCGAGCGACATGGCTTTGACAAGCGCGGCGCCACGACAATATGTCTTGTGCCATATTGAATCATGATCTTCGGGATCGACGGTGGCAGTCAAGAATGTTGAGCTTGAGTTGACAATGGTGAGATCTTGATGTAGGTCCGGTCCAGGCGCAATGCTACCCGCCACAGAGGCGATGAGGATAGCAAGATGACAGTAGAAAAAGAGCTTCATACTCCGCTATTAGTCTAAGTCGTGGATTCCGGAGGAAAGGAACAAGTTGTATTAAATCCAGGGGAATTTACTAAACCCCGACGACCTGTAAGGGCAAGGGCAAGCCGAGCGCCATGACGCAATACAACAAACGGAACGATCGTTCCCATCACGAAGTGAATACAAGGATCCATGTAGAATCTCGACCTAGTGCGGCCCTTATTGTCTTACACACTCCACTTCTTCTTCAAGGCCGCGACCTGAGTCGCGTTGACGCCTAGTACACTCCCGTGCCTCAAATTCTGAGGCCAGGCACTCCGGTCACTCGCTGTCCATTTTCCACTCTTCACGTCAGAACTTTCATAAGGTCTGTATCCGTCTGCTCCATAGAAGTCAAGCAACAAATGCGCCTTGCCAGCAACTTGATTGTCCCAGTAAGGCGCAGGACCTAAAGTTTGGTATACGAGGTCAGTATGTGTCCCACAATCAGTTCGTATAGGGACATGACTAACCCTCTACACCAGAAGCGATAATAGCGTTAGCACCTGCAGGTCTAGACCAGGTACCAAACAGCCCATTAGTAGAGATTTCTGTGAAAACAGTCTTTGCACTTTCATCCTTCAAGAAGCGTGCGTATGCATTGTTTCCCAGGGCCAGAAATTCCTGGTCAATAATATTGGTAGGTGATCGGTTGATGTAGTCCTGGGGTGCACTGAAAGTCTTGAAGTCTTTGGTGTACGCGTAACGAATTCGAATCGATGAAGGCGCACCCGTATGTTGCGGGTCGGAAGTAGGGTAAAATTTGCTAGCCCAGTGAACGAAGTATTGGCCCTTGGCTTCGTCCCAGATTGCACTGGGTGCCCACACCATACCTGCTGTAGAGTCTTCAACGGTGACAAGACGTTCATTGGTCCATGTTACAAGATCGGTAGACTCCCAAACGAAGATTCCACGAGAGCCTGTACGTTGAGATGCATCCCATGTTGTCTTGCCAATATCAAGGTCTGTGCCAATGATGTACCATTTCTTGCCAGCTTCGGCTGCTCCACCAGATATGATAGCTGGATCACGAACGCCCTGAGTACCTTTCGTAGGAATTATAACAGGTTGGCCCTTGTTCATGGCAATCATGGAGTTTGCATTGTTGCCATTGGAAAGGTAGAAGTAGACAGAGGGCTTGTCACCAAGGAAGAAGACGCCAAGGTAGTTCGTGAGGGAAGAATCGGCACGTGGCGCTATACCGTACCTTGCGAAGTCGAGAGTCTGAGATGGAAGAGCGAGGACGCTAGGGAGCAGGGTGCACAGAGTGAGAAGACGCATCGTGAGGGAAGTTTCGTGAGTTCGGAAGTGACGAGTGAAAAAAAGGCTGTAGCGACAGTTTATAGAACTCTTGGGACATGTGCCCGTCTAGCTTTGCCACGCAGTCCGTGTAAAGTACCATGTCCCGAGCATCCCGCAACGGCTGTCCCTCCCAAGAGGGCAAGGTACCCAGGCCTCGGTGGACTTAGAAACATCAAGTCAGGAAATCGAACACATGTGCGGGGAAAATCCGGCATTACTTCAATAAACCCCGGTTTGGCAAGAGGGTGTGGGGTTAGATTAGAGTTGTATACGAAGGATGTGGCATTTCTCCGGCGCTACCAGTTTCCAAGACGCTACCTGAGCAGCCTCGGCAGTTCGGACAAATGCAGTGCCATAACAATGTTGCGATTAACTATAATAATAAGCTCGTGAAACTTTCGTGGTTGGCTACCGATGCGACTAACCATGTTCTGGGGTACATGAGATCCTAGCAGCTTTCCGCGTGACCGGTTAGTATTACAACACTGCGCCCAAACGTCATAGTATGGGATGCAGCGCAGCACGGCGTTGTGGTTTGTATGCCGCGATTGCTATTGTGAGAATGTGTGAGATAGTCATTCCAGGCGTGGCTCAGTCATCATCGCTGTCGTAACCAGCTACAAGCATGGTGGATAGTTTTGAGGGTGGCGCAGCAGCTTTCGTCTGGGGCGCAGGAGCCGATGCAGGCGTCTTCTTCTTGATGCCTAATGCGGCGCTGAAGTCTTTCTTTTCCTTTGGCTTCTTGGTGAAGGTTGTGACCACAGGTACTTCGACAGGTGCATCGAACATATCTTCATCGATTGTCTCCTCGCCGATATCAGGCATGCTCCGGTTTGAGAAGGCTTGTCGTGCAGCCTCTGCATCTTCTTCCTCTTGCTTCTTCCGTCGCTCGTCGGCCGCATCGGGCGGGACATCGGTTCCTTTGCCTTCGCGGTCTGCCTTCTCCAGTCTAGCGTTTCTCGACCGGATCTCGTCTAGAGCATCTGCGATGGCCATCTCTGTCTTCGCATCGTGGACTTTTGATTCGAGTTCCTTCATCGCATCGCGCTCCGCTTCCTCTCTCTCTATGCGATCTAAGCGCTCTTCTTCGGTCTCTTCGTTTAGCTTGGCCTCCCTCCATGGCTCGAAGTTTCTCTTTGCGCCACGCTCGCATTCGTAGTCCATGTTCTTGGGGTCGGTCTTGAAGGTGATCTCGCCGGAGCATCGCGTGCATCGGATGTAGAAGCGGAATATGGCGATGTTGTAGTACTTTTCATCCGTCGTCTCTTTGCGCGCGTTGAATTTGCGCCCTTTGTAGATGAACTCGCCGCAGTGGGTGCACTTCATGGAGAAAGGGGCCATGAGACGGACCGTCATCAGCTTGGGACCGGCATTCTTGGGACCGCGTTGACGCGTGATCTTCGAGGGGTCGAAGTCTGGTGGGTAGTACTTGGTGAGCACTTTTCGTTCAGACATGGCGGCGGATTATGCGAAGTCGACGTTGATCGGGAATTCGGGATAGTAGTTTTGGGATCCAGAGGCGTTTTGTGTTGTGTGAACGAAGACGTCGCGTGATGCGGTCGCGATGTGGTAGCGGATGCTGAGTGTCGGAGATCACGTCTAGGTGAAGGCGACCTTGGAGCGGAACTTTTGGCTGACTAAGGCGGCCCGCTGCTGCAGGAACCCCGCAAACATGTGCTCTCGCGTCAGGTAGGCGCGACCCTGGCACCATCACCGCGCCGCCGTCTACTGCAACCTCGACTGGAGACACGTTTTTTTCTTTGGAGAAACCTGCTGACCTGCCTAGACAGACTCTGTCCGATGCAATAGCAAAATTATGGAGAAATATCTTCGTGAGTGGCGCCAAGAAGCCCTCAACCGCTGCCAGTACGACACAGCCATCTTCGTCGCAGACAAACTGCTGGCCTTGACAGGTATGAAGACCGCATCTATGGATTAGCGCACACTGACGGGATATCGTAGATGACGACCAAGATGTATTCTGGCTAGCCCAGGTACACTTCACCACCGGCAA